CAGGCAGCCTATAGTGTGACCTCAGACCCTGAGATGGTGTACAGGAGGCAGCCAGCCTGGTGGCTGTCAGCCATAATGAGGAGGGGGGAAATGGCCAAAGGGAGGTGGCCCTCAGGCCAATGGAAAATCCTGCCATGCTGTCCCAGCTCCAGCTCCAACCAGCCTCACAAGGACTTTCATGGACTTCCCAGTGAGCTGGGCTGCCTGGCAGCCATGCCCCTAGTGAGAGGGAACCAGATGAGTCTGAGAGAAAGCAAGAGACCTTCTCCCTGGTCTACCACGGGGAAGCCTTGGGCAAAGGCAGGAGGAGGCGAAGGGAAGAACCTGCTCCAGAACACCTGTCTCCAGTCATTGCCAGTGGTCACCCTGCTCCAGCCCAATGGAGAAGAGTGTCTCCACCCCTGGAGCAGCAAAGCACAGAGTGCACCCAGCATGGTCGCAGCTGTCCCTGGTACGTGGAGTCACCCATGTGTCTTTCCTCGTAACATCATGCACCTGGCTCAGGCCACGCTAATGAGGCTTGTTGGGTCTCACTGTGGGGTGAGAGTACCTGAGGGTGCCCATGAGCCCTGGCTGAATCCTCCCATCTTGGGCTCTGCTCTCCTGCAGATGGTCCTTACTCAACAGCTACCCAGTCACTTCAGTCAAGGCAGAGGGAGTCAATGCAGGTGTGGCAGGTCCCTGTTGGTCACCCCACGTCAGACACCAGCTCTCTGTGCTTATTGCTGGCTCTTCTGGCCTAGCAAGCCAGCTCCTAGCATGGCCATGGGGCCCATCAGCAACGGCACAGACGCGTCACTCTGATCCATTAGAGCAGTCACGTCCACCCTAGGCAATTCTTCACCTCCAGGGCTGAGCACCACGTGGCGAGGAAGGCTCACGTCCCCCACCAAGTCGGGTGGGGGCACAGCCGAGGGACAGATGGGGGTGGCGCAGAGAGGGAGAAGATAGGTCCCAAGTACCCGTCAGAGGAGAACACCTGTCTTTCCCTACCCGCCTCCCAAGGGCAGTGACCCTTGTTTGCTCTCCTACCTCTCCAAGGGCAGGCTCTGTCTCGTCCCTCAGAGCAGCACACACTCCTCTCTGGGGCACCAGTCAGTCACATTATAACTGCATTGACCGAGGTGTTGAACTAAGAAGATTCCAAGGTGACAGATTTCAGGCTGTCTTCCCCAAGCTGTGCCTTGCAGCTTATAGCTGGTCTGTGCTGTCTTCCCAAAGAATCCCTGGAAGACACTGGCCCTTCTATATAGTGGTGATGCAAAGCTCCTTGTCCTTTCCAAAGGCACCCTGTGCTACTGGTGCCTGGCCTCCCATTAGCCCCTGCCTGGGCATGTCTGGACTTGCTTCTTCCACCCTGTCTAACCCTGTTGGGAGCCTCCTTGCTGCAAAGAAATCCACAACTTTGGCCTCACCCTGACCTTAGAATTGCCTGGCTTTCTAACCGTTATTTTGCTGATAATGTTTGTGGAAGGCTTTTTCCCCTGTATACTTAGACTGCGGAACTCCCTGCCACAGGATGACAAAAACATCGCAAGAGCCAAAGTAGGACTGGACATTTATATGGATCACAAGAATAGCCAGAGGGCAATGGTTAATGCTAACAAGGAACACTGGAAAGGAGGAAAAATGTCGTGGTTCAGACTTTAAATGAGTTTCTAACTATTAGGGACCAAGACGAGACTTATTCTGGGGGGCAGATTATCCCACATCGGCTACTTCAGGTTTCCTCCTTTGTCCTCTGCAGCAGCTGGTCCTGGCCTTGTCAGACACAGGGCACTGGACTGGCTGGACCTTGACGTTTCCACCTATTCCCAGCCTTAACTTTAGTTTACCTTACCAACGTGCTCAGTCTAGAACTAGAAACGGATGCCTGGCCGCGTTCCCTGAGTACACACATCCTGCAGAGAATATCAGCTGCACCACAGGAATGTTAATGAGCCAGGTGAAGGGTCTAGCAAAGGCCATTCAGAAGATACCCCTCCTTTGTGCTCCAAATGCTGCCATAGTCCTGCGGGCGTTGCTGTGAGACAGGCTAGGACACGGCGAAAGGAGGCCAAGCTGAATGGCGCTAGCCCTGCTGGATCCCACAGACACAACGGGTAGGAGCACCCCGTGCCAGGATCTGGGAGCGAGGAGTTCGCACGACTCTCCCCCCTCCCATGTTGTTGCTCGTCACACGGCAGACTCTTAGCAGCTGGGCGTGCGCAGCACCAGGCCCAGTGAATGCCCTGTGCAGGCTCCGGAGCGGGATGTCTGGGCACGCAGAACAGACTTGCTGGCTCCCCGTGTTCCAGCTGCGAGCTCCGCGGGGCAGCTGGGTGCTGAAATGGGCTTGTGGCACATCACCAGTCAGCAGCAGGTGACTGGGGATGGGAGCATACAAGGGGGAGGGAGAGAAGCACTGGACGTTTCTGGCTCAAATAAAAGCCGGCCTGTGAGTGGGACCTTTGGCTTATCCCCCATCCCAGCCTGCTCATTAACCCCCTAGCAGCCTGGTCTCTGGGGCAACAAGTGGGGAAACCCTGGCTCCCCAAGCTCTCCCTCAGTGCTGGGTGGGACTGGGTGCCAGGCACCTTCCTCTGCAGGTGCTCTCAAGTCCCCAGAAGAAACACTCATTGACTGCTCAGGACAGCAAGAAGAGGGTAGCAGTCAGTGCTCCTTGGGGGTTGGACAGGGCCCTCCACTTCAGCTGCTCGGGGTACTGCTGCTCATTCCACAGCCCATGCAGCTGTATCCAGTGTCAGCGCTGGCTGGACTGCGACAGGCTCACAGTGCCACCTGCCGGCTCCCAGCAAAGCCCTGCACCGCTCCCCGCACTAAGGACGCAACCCAAGCAGCCGAAGGGTCTTGTGAAGCCAGGAGGCCGCAGCGTGCACTTGCCAATGAGGCAGCACCAGGAGGTGGCTCAGGTCCTTGTACCACCAAGTCATCTAATGCTGATGCCTGAGCCTTGTCTGTACCAGGGCCTTGAACAACGCCCCCTCTCCCCCCCCCCCGAGGAGCTGCCCCCCGCAGGAAGAACAGCCTGGAAGCAGCCTGGCGTAGGTGAGAACTCAGGGAGTCAGGGCCAGACTGGTCAGGGCAAAGAGTTCAGCAGGAGATTCACTGAGGCAGGATCATGGCCCAGGCTCCTTCCCGTTCATCTGTGGATTGGGCCCAGTGTGCATCAAGGAGAGGCTGGGCCACCCGGAGTAACCTGCAGGGCCCTGGGGCCCCAACCCCCTGTCACTGCAAGAGCCAGGGCATCAGTGGGAATAGAAGCACACAGCAGGCCAAGCAATGCAGAGTCAGGGTCTGTCTGCACTGGAGCGGGAGGGGTGGATGTACCCACGCTAGCTCCACTGGCACTAGTGCGTGAAAAGTAGCAGTGTCACCGCTCCATGTATGCTCCCTAGGTCTGTACCTGAGTGACTAGCCCATCCCACTGCTGGTGTCTGAAAATTACCCCCCTTGCTCCAGTGCACACGTCCCGTTAGGGGCTCCCACAAGTGATTCACTACCCACTTGCCTGTGTGTGTTGTGTCCTTCCTCTGACACCTCGTCTTGACTTAAAGATGGCGAGAGACAGGGAGTGCACCCCATCCTTGGACAGGTGCTGCCATGGGTTAGCTCAAGCTGCAGAGGGCCATGCTCTCTGTGTCGCAGAGCCTGGGATTGGTCATTTGCTAAGAGCATGAGAACAGTTGCTGCCAGGCCCCTTTGTGACGTGGTTCCATTGTCGGGGAAGGTACGTTTACACCTGCAGACGTCTGTGCTGTGTGGCCAAGTTAACACTGCTGCGGGGAAGCCGACATTCCCGACACCCTGCCCCTAAATTCCCCAGCCTAGCACAGCACAGCGGTAGGTCTTTGCATTGAAATCACTCCTACGTGCACAAATAATTACAGAAGAAGAGCTTTTAGTCACCTGGGCTATAGCTATGGCTACAGAGTGTGGCAGTACGGCCTAGTGGGAAGAGCACTGGGTTGGAGTACAGAGACCTGGGTTCTAATCCCAGCTCTTCTACTGGCCTGCTGAGTGGCTGGATCACTAGAGCTATTGATCTGGGCACAGGAGTGCGCTAATCTGTCTAGGGAGGAAGTGTGGCCTAGTGTATAGCATACAGCACTGGGAGTCAGGACATCTGGGTCCTGTTGGTGACCTTGAGCGAATCACTTCTCCTCTCTGTGCCTCAGTTTCCCTGGCAATAAACTTGGGATAATGAAACTGACATCCTCAGTTAAACACTTTGAGACCTACTGATGGAAAGCTGATTGATCAGGGCTGGCCTAGCCCCAGGCCTTTAAAGAGGCAGGCCAAGGGGCCACAGGAGCTGGTTGTGATACTATGTCTGTATTAGATACTTACTTGCCACTCTCCCATATCCTAGCAAGGCAGGGCAGGGCTATTATCCCCATTATACAAATGCGGGGGGGGGGATGCGACTCTCCAGCAGGCTGGGGACCCTTGGGAAGCTGTACATTGGCAACACTGATTTTATCTCAGGCTGGGCAGCAACAGGAAAAAAAATAGAGGCCCTGAAAATCAGCGGCCACTTCACTGTGTAGCTCAAAGGCCAGACTTTGTTGTTGCTTTTGGCTCCCTTTAGGGCTGAGGTGCTGAATACCTGGGCTGTGGGGGCTCTTCTGAGTGGGCCATAAAATTAAACAGTTTCATAACCCAGGAGAGAAGAAATCATAAACAGATTAGGGAAGCCAGCGGCATGGTCTCACAAAGGACAAGTCTTGCTGGACAAACGTGACAGGGGCTTTGCAATGTTGTTGTAGCTGTGTTGGTACCAGGATACCAGGCTCCAGGTACCAGGAGCCAAGGTGGGAGACAGTCACAGCGTTGGTGGGTGAAGGGCTCTGGATTTCAGTGCAGCCCTTGACACAGGATGTATCTGGGACATCTTTTCAGAATGCCCAGTTGGTTACCTACACAGGCATTTCTTTGGCACCTCTAGAGCAAGAGACAAGAGCGGCTGACGCTGTAACACAGTAATGTCTGAAGCAGCTTTATTACATCAGCATATAAAACAAGCCCAAAATAGGAACAACTGGCGCAGTTTAACTCCTGCCTGGTGCCCCTTGTAGCCAATGATTTTAGTTTATTATCCAGTTATTGGGTGATGTTATGATTAATCACCATGTCATGTTATATATAAGCATTGTATGGTAAATCGAGTTAAGTTGTAGGATGATAGAAGTATAAACCTGAACAGTAGTTAGAGGGAATCAGGGATTAGATAGCTAAGTAAGAAAGGCTGAAATGCAAGACTTGTAGGCTGAGACCTGCAAGATTTTAGCTTAGCTATTTTAGGCCCTGGAGCTAAGAAATGCTGACAGAAGTAAGTGACTGAAGAATAACCCGATGCGCTGAGGTGATGGGAAAAGAGGCACTAAGGGGTAACATTGTGAAAAATTAGCTGGAAGATTAATTTTAAATCATAAAAATGTGGTAGAGGCACATCTGTCTCCCACATGCATCTGATACAGATTGTGCGTCAATGCCAATGAGAATAAAGAGAACCTACATGACCTAGACATGACCTTTTTTGGATATTAGGAAAAACTTTTTCGCTAGGAGGGTGGTGAAGCACTGGAATGGGTTCCCTAGGGAGGTGGAGGAATCTCCTTCCTTAGAGGTTTTTAAGGTCAGGCTTGACAAATCCCTGGCTGGGATGATTTAGTTGGGGATTGGTCCTGCTTTGAGCAGGGGGTTGGACTAGATGACCTCCTGAGGTCCCTTCCAACCCTGATAGTCTATGATTCTATAGAAATCGGGGTCCCTTCTGTTTTTAGAGGACCAATAATGAAAAAGAGGGGTGACACATGTACATGCACGGACTATAAGTACAGGCAGAATCACATTATAAAAAGGGGGTGCCCGGAGCGGGGAAATTGAGCTTCCTATGGGCAAACTCCAGCAGGAAGCATCCCTGTACTGGTGATCAATCCATGAGAGACCCACCAGATCCTAATGCTGTCTAGGAGGATATGAGTCTGGCTGCAGTTAGAACTGGTGCCTGGATAGATCTAGGTGTTGTACATGCTTTGGTAACATTAATAAAATGGATACAAGATAATAAACCTTCTTCTTGTGATTGTCTGTTACGTGCTTACGGCTTCATATGTTCCTATGAGCGCTAGAGCTAGAACGGGCAGAGAGAGCTCTGCTGAACTGTGGCCGCCAGAGCCGAGCCCTCGATGGTGTAATAGAACAGCACTAAAATTACCTTTAAATAAAAATAAAGGCTACATACACCCTGATGGTGTGGGAAGACTGGTGATGATGATGGCTTGACACAGGGCCAGATTTTCAGAGGCATTCAGCACCCAGTGTGCACCCAGCCTATGGTGCTCAGCTCTGGGGAGAGCCCAGTTCAGTGTCTCACCAAATCCTGCTACAGGGCGAAATCCACCCCATGCACAGGGCCTGCATGAAGCCAAGACATCATTAAAAGCCTAAAAAAGTGGGACTGAAGCAGGACCTCGCCCTAATGCTGGCTTCTTGCACAGGAGCGAACCCTGTCCACTCTGATTCCAACTGCCGGGTGTGGGAAGCCTGTCCTGTGGGCAGGGACAGGGCTAAAAGAACCAAAGCCAAAGGGTGAAGTATCAGCCAGCCGTAAACACCAAGGCACACAGCTGGGGATGTGTGTTGTGCAAGGGCTGGCCTCAGCCAACATCTTCATTACTGGGCTGGGCAGAGGGAGAAAGCCACATGCTGACGAACTCTACAGATGGCACTAAGCCAGGAGGAGCTGTGAGCACCAAGAAGAGGAACAGGAATCACAGAAAATAAGATTCAGCTTGAAAACATGCAAAGCCACCCGAGAAAAAGTGTCTTGGGGGAGAGGAGAAAAACCTGCCAGTAACCAGGCTGAAATGCCTTGGGAGTGAGTGTAAAGAACAAACACACTATGGCAGCAAAAGAGAGGCCTTCGGGGCAGGTAGCGCATCATGGTGCAGGAATACAATTGCCTTTCTCTATATGGCCCGGGCAGGTCACATCAGGCGATGCCGACAGCTGGCCCTGGGCAGGCTGTGCCAGGTGACACTGAATCCTGTGCAGCTCAGGACCAGAAAGATGGAGAAAAACCCTAAGTATTTACAAGAAGGGTAACACACCTGCTAAGGAGACTGGCGGGTTGGATATGTGTGGGGGATGTGAGTCACAACAGCTGAGAGCAGGGTGGGGGCCCATGGCAAGGAGGGAGAAGAGTGAATTAGAGCAGTGCATGACTTATAAATAGGAGGAAGGCAATGAATGGAGAATACAGCCTGACTCTGGAAATTTTTCCCAAGTGCAAAATCTTTGCCTGTGTGGCATTTCCCCGAGGGAAGGGGAGGAAGGTCTGTTTCTTGGGATATTGAACACAAAGCTGGACAAAGCCCTGGAGAATAGAATGCAGAGTACGACCCTGCAGCAATCTCTGGGGAGGGGCTAGAGTGGATCTACAAGGTCTTTTCCCTCAGTCCCCATCTCTGTATGTTTGGCCAAGGAAGCTGAAACAAACTGGGTGGCAAAGTGGAATGCAAGGCGCTGCCCTACTCCCCGCTGGGGCTGCTGCTGCGGGGCACGGAGTAGCGGTCAGGCTTTGGGAAGCTGTTTATCACCAGCTCTTTCCCTTCTCAGGCTGTAAAGTCTTGGGTCACCAGGTTGAAGACATTGCTCTCCATGGACGACTGCCATTTGCCCCAGTTCCTCTGGATCTCAGCCTGCACCTGGAACAGCCCAGCAGAGAAGCACCTTGGAACAGCGCTGGGAAAAGCTGGGCCTTCCCCACTTTGAGCTCCACTTCAACCCATAGGAAATGGAGGCCAGTACCCAGACCCCTCCCCCGAGGACTCATTCAGGTTTGGCAAAGGGCTCACAGGGAAGGGTCCACGGGGATGCAGAGTCTCATATCTACAGGCCAATGAAAGGTGGCTTTTTACATCATCAGCTCAACTGATTTGGGCTCCCAGTGTCAGAACCCCCCTCCCCCTGCACTCAGGGAGCTCCCTTTAACAGCTACAGATGGCAACAGCTGGTTGGGCTGGAGCCTAGGAGGGACGTGGTTATAAGGACACAATCCCTGTGCTAGACACCGCACTGGGGAGGTTCATTAGAAAAGCCTCCTGCCCTGCTAAAAGGAACCTTGAGACAATGCAGCGTGTGTATCCTTGTGTGTATATGTATACATGTGTGCACTGCATGTATCTGTGTGCATGTGTTCACAAGTGAATTTGTGTGCACAGGTGCATGTATTTGTGTATGCGTGTGTGCACACGTGTGTGTTGAAGGGAAGTCACTCACCTCCCCATTCAGGAAGCAGTACAGCAGAGCCACCAGGAACCCCTGAAATACAACAGCAAGGGAAGAAGTTTCACAAAACAAACATGTTGCTGCATTTCTCCACCCTCCTGGAAAGCCCCAGGACTAGACTCCTCCCAGGGGAGTTGTCTCTGGCCCCACATGGCCAGCTCTGAAACCAGAGGGCAGATGAGCCCAGGACCTGCCTCTGGGAGCCTTTCTGAGACCCTATGAGCTAGGTCCGTTATTTGAGAATGGAGGTGGGCTTCTGATGATGGGCCCACCAGATCTGCCCTGGGACTTTGCCTCCTGCTGTGTTTGTTTGCCTGGAGGGATCTGCTCAGAATACGGCCACCGCCGGAGTGGATGAGGGGGGTTCTAGTCCTGCAGACAGGAGTCTCTGGGGGAGAGCGTCCCTGAGGGGTTCAAGAGGGCTGCGCTGGGAGGCAGGTCTTCCCATTTTATCCCTGAACAGAAGACTGGCTGTGGCCTTTGGCTGGTGGTCTCTGGGCAGTGGGCCACAGTATAGGTGCATGCATATTGCTTAATAGGGTGGATCTCTCTCTTTGCTTTGGTCTCCCTGATTTATAATTACACCCTCCCTGTGCTTGATGCCAGGCTGGGGAGGTTCACTGGAAAAGGCTCCTAAGTGGAACTCGGGTGCATTTGTGGAGTTTCTAAGTTGCTGGAAGAGAAGTTAAAGAGTCAAATGTCTGAGGCTCAGAAGATTAGCGCAAATCTGAATCAGGGCACCAGAAGGTGAGGAGGCCAGAATCGGGCGGCACTTCGGAAAAGACGGGCATTAGGAGCCACAGCTAGACAAGGCCAGAGAGAAGCTCAGTGATCACATCTGGCCTGGCCTGGTGTTCGTTCTTTTCTATCTTAGGTTTTCCTGTGGTGCTCATCACGTCACATCTAAGGGCTGGACGAGTGCAGTAGATCTTCTCCTCCTGGTTTCAGCCATGGCAGGTAAGCATGAGCCTGCAGGTTTTTCTTGCAGCATCTTCCCAACTAAACTTTGATTTAGTCTAATCTTCTAGAGTGCTCATTCCACATAGAGTGCTGTGTCTCCAACTCTTGGATGTGATGCTCTAAACTTGGTTAGTTGTGTGGCCCGGAGGAATGCAGAGGTCTCATAGAGTCCTGGATGCAGAGCTGGTTTCTGATGTAGCTGGGTCCTGATCCACGGAGGGCTTTGGAGATCAAGACCAAGGCCTTCTGTGGTCACCAGAAGTGAAATGGGGACCAATGATGGGTGCAGGGTGCTGGGGTCCCACTGACCTCGGCTCAGATCCTCAAAGGTATGTAGGCTCTCAATTTCCATCTGAGCCACTTCTCATGTGCAACACAGGTATCAGCTGAAGAGGGAAAGTCTCCTGTATCTTATTTACCTGGGTATCCTCCATGCAGAGAGAGGGTCCCTGATGCTTGAGACAAAGAAGTTGGCAGAAGTGGGATGCAAATTTCACCTCTTAGTCTCCTAGCATTGTGGGTAACACAATATGGCCGTTTTATTGATGCTGTTACAAATACTGTGTGGATGTTTAGCTAAAGAAGGTGGTTGCTGCTGTTTGGGCCTAACTATTCATAGGAGCCACATGGAGTTTATCTGGATGGTTTGCAGCCCTCACAGCAATGATACATTCTGTTCCTTTGTAAAATAGGGACTATGCCTGGGGATTCTGGGTAATTGCATCGGGGGAGGGAATCAGGGTAGTACTGAGCTGGTTACAGTCACACTCCGGCTGTTAGTTTGACATGCAGCGAAAGGGTGACGCTCCGTTTGCATTCATGGACAGTCAGACGTCTTCTTCTACTGTATTCCCCCCTCTTATTTTGTAGTTGTTCTCTTTCTTTAAATAAAAAATAAGAGCCCATTTCCTGCCTCTGTCAGCCTGCGGCATTCCCCTCCCTGCCCTGTTTTGATGAGTGGGCAGTGCACAGGGTGCAAGGGGCTGCACATGGGTGGCACAGGGAGAGAGAGTCTGGGCCCATGTTCACAGCTGTGGCTTCTGTTATTGCCGCTCTGTGCCAGCTGCTCCCTCACTCTCATACCTGATAGGAGCCAAGAACCAGTTCGAAATAGAGTCTTGCTTCAACGCCAATATGTTCTGGGAAGAGGGCGAACACCACGTAGTGAACCCCAAAGAGGGGGATGAGAAGCAGTGTGGATTTTGCCAGTCTCCTGGGAAGAATCAAAGTGACAGGTTCTGGTTATACAAGAATCGCTGTGTTCACACTGTTAGTGAATTAAAAATGCTCTCCCCTCCAGTATTCAGTTTTAATACTTCCCCAGGTAATAGAGCTATCGGGAAAGTATTAAAACTGAATAGTGCATCTGGCCTTTCTACATCCGTTTAAGTGACACCTCACTAGGTTTGTTGCAGAACAAGTGTCACTTGGGGAGGGGTCAGGAAAAGTGACCCAGTAGTTGGAGCCATGTTGGTTCCAGGATATTAGAGAGGCAAGGTGGGGAAGGTGATATCTTTTATTGGAGCAACTTCAGTTGGTGAGGCAGACAAGCTTTCAAGCCACACAGAGCTATTTTTCAGGTCTGGAAAAGGTCCTCAGAGTGTCACAGTTAAATACAAGGTGGAACAGATTGTTTTGCATAAGTAGTTAACACACTTCAAGGGACCATTCAAGGTGAAGTGGCCTGTTAACATTCCTCCAGTCATAGGGGGAAAAGGAGAGAGGAAAAAATGAAATTTTTTCAGTATTCTCCCACAGTATTCTTGCCGCCAAGTTAAAGAAGTATGGGCTGGATGAATGGACTGTAAGGTGGATAGAAAGCTGGCTAGATCGTCGGGCTCAACAGGTAGTGATCAATGGCTCCATGTCTAGTTGGCAGCCGGTTTCAAGCAGAGTGCCCCAAGGGTCGGTCCTGGGGCCGGTTTTGTTTAATATCTTTATTAATGATCTAGAGGATGGTGTGGACTGCACTCTCAGCAAGTTTGCAGATGACACTAAACTAGGAGGCGTGGTAGATACACTAGAGGGTAGGGATCGGATACAGAGGGACCTAGACAAATTAGAGGATTGGGCCAAAAGAAACCTGATGAGGTTCAACAAGGACAAGTGCAGAGTCCTGCACTTAGCACGGAAGAATCCCATGCACTGCTACAGACTAGGGACCGAATGGCTAGGTAGCAGTTCTGCAGAAAAGGACCTAGGGGTCACAGTGGACGAGAAGTTGGATATGAGTCGACAGTGTGCTCTTGTTGCCAAGAAGGCTAATCGCATTTTGGGCTGTATAAGTAGGGGCATTGCCAGCAGATCGAGGAACATGATCGTTCCCCTTTATTCGACATTGGTGAGGCCTCATCTGGAATACTGTGTCCAGTTTTGGGCCCCACACTACAAGAAGGGTGTGGAAAAATTGGAAAGAGTCCAGCGGAGGACAACAAAAATGATTAGGGGTCTGGAGTACATGACTTATGAGGAGATGAGGGAACTGGGATTGTTTAGTCTACAGAAGAGAAGAATGAGGG